GCGCCGGCACTGAGCGGAGCCTGTTACCGGGATGGGCTCGGTCACCGTTCCGGGGGCAGCAGCTCCCAACCGGCCGAGTTAGCCTCGCCGGCATCGGTGTTGGAGGCGAAGTGCCGCCAAGTTTGACCCTGGGGAAGGGGGAGGGGAGGTTTTTCACAACGCCCTTCAAACCAGTCTCTCCTGCGCCTCGCGCAAGCGTTTGAGGATGCGGTGCTGTTTTTGTAGGAAATTTGCCCTAGCGCTCTTGGCTAAAAGACTTGTTCGTATTGCTTAGTAAGCCCAAAAACGCCTGGCTCCTTTCTTTGCCCAAAAGCTGGCTGTATTCCAGGGATGCTGTGTGTCACCTTTGGCACAGTATCGGATCAAGACATGGGGAAAAAGTACGTGTATACCTTTAGGACCTATAAGGCACAGCTTGCCTATGCGCTTGTAATTCTGAATGTACTGGGTGGATCTTTCATAATAAGTCAGGATTTTATATTTAAGTCGTCATAAATGCCTCCTGACTATGGCCAGGCAGCAGCATGATTCTTTGACATCAAGCGGTGCTCCCCTCGGTCTTGCTTTGCTGGAAGAAGCGTGGGGTGGAAAAGGGGGGGAAAGAAGGGTTTGTGAACGTGGGCGAGAGGCAGGGGTAGCATGTCTTGTGTTAACCAGCCTCTCCCCAAACTGGATGCTCTTGTGGTAAAGCAGCCGTCGGCACGTCCTGCGGAGGTGCCAGCTGTTGAAATGAAGTGCTCCTCCCTGATTTCAAGTGGGTTTCTCTGCCCTGACAGGTGAATCCCAGGGCCTTTGCCGCCCTTTGGAAGGGGAGAGCAGGCTCGATGCCACGTGCTGTGTGTGCCATCACTGAAAGGTGCGGAAAGGCAGGCCCCGAGGAGAGCAGTCAGCGTGCCTTAATGTCAAAGGAGTCGGTTGCCACCTTAAAGCCTTTCACCTTGGACCGACTGGTCTGGTTCCTTCTCTTTGGTGCCTCTGAGGCCTGGCCGGGGAAGCAGAGCTCCTGCTGACTCAGTAATGCAACAAAAGGGCTCTGTAATTGTAGCGAGGGAGAGGGTAGCGCTGCATAGATGTCTCTTGTTGTGCCTACCTCTTTTCTTCTGCATGTTAGGATATGTGTACCAAAAAAAAATAAAAATCTTGGCTCTCCTGTAGTAGGTTTCACCAGATACTGCCTTGACAGCTTCTTTCATTACAGAGTGTTTAAAAATGTGGGTTTCAGTAGGTACTGTCAAGACTAATCTACAGTTTCCAGCTGCTCTGGGTTAGTCTGTTGTGACTGCCTTTGGGTGTTGATGGAATAGAGGGTGATGTGTGATATATCTTAAATATAGGGTGAAGATGTAAAAGTGTTTCTACCCAAGTTATTTTTTTTAATGAGTCTGTGAACCCAAGGCTTTTTAATGAGGCTGTGAATCCCTTCAGGTTCCCCTTAAGCTAGGTCGATGGCTGCTTCATTTATGTTTTTGGTGTCTGTGGAGTTGTGGATTTTTTTTTTTTTTTTTTTGATTCTTTGTAAACTATGCAGTCAAGTACAATGGGACTTGGACTTGGTTCATCTTGTGCTGCAGAATGGCTTGTAATTAGTGTGGCGTGTCTTGCTGGTTGGGCCCCAGTGAATGATCTATAAAACCTGATACAACTGATACTAAGCAGGCTATCTTTGTGTAGCATCTAAGAGTATGGGTTTAGCGCCCTGAAGTATTTGCGTAAAGTGCTTTAGTATTTGCTGACTTTACTGTTTCTCAGATTGCCTGGGGGCAGAGTGGGGGGCATCTCTGGAGAGCAGAAGCCGACTACAGGCTTGCGAGGCTGTCATGTCCGGGGTATGTCTGCGCTCCCTTTCCTGAGAAATGCCTGTCCTTATGCCACCTGTCAGAAGATAGGTGCCTTTTTTTCTCACCTCTCTCTCCTGATGTTGATCCCTAGGTCTAGTCCTTTATTTTGGAGGTTTGGTATTCGGCCAGCCGCAGGCAGCTCCTGCCTTCCCCAATATATCATTTGGGGCAGACCGCCCGTCTCGCAGTAAATCAGTGTCTCTGCATTGATCCAGCTGCAAGACGCTACTAGGCAGCCTTCCTCCCCTCCTCCCAGCTCACGGAGCCTATTGGCAGCAGAAGAGCCAGCAGACATAAGGTGTTTTCTGGGAGCGGTGCTGGGAGTTGGGGACCTCTACATTTGCTGAGCTTGGAGCTGGGCTGGGTGAAGCAGGTAAAGAGCCCTCCAGGGCACCTTGGGGACATCAGCTGGTCTGGAGATGGGAATGGCACGGCCTGAGGCTGTGTGTGGGACACGATACGGCACATTTTCATTCTGAGGCCTTTTCTTTCACAGCTGGCAGCCCTGAACACCAACAGCCTGTTGAAAGAAGGCGAGTTGGAAAAACTGGCCTGCGTAGAAACTGATACAGTTCTAGCTGGAGCTGACTGAATTCAGTACCAAATACTTGATTCATTCATTATGCACAGCTTTTTGATCCAGGGAACCCAACTGGTTTTAGAAGAAGTCAGATTTGGTTATGACTCTACCTGGTACTGCAGTATTTGCCTCACCACAGCACCTTCTGTACCTTTGCAGGCTGGCTACTTGAACGCGGCAGACTTCTGGCTCTTCTCATCCCATGCCTCTCCCTGTAAGTGATAAGGCTGCGTTAATCTGTGTTCCCTGCGATCTGAGAGCTGGACTGTTTGGGATCTGAAAATGGGTAATTTTTACTATATTAATTTTTCAACTCAAAATTCTTGCAGGGTAGTCTGTATCATGAGAAGGTTTTTTGTTCAACATTATTCAGATGCCCTGATAGTAAGTGAAGCCATTTGACTTTCTAGAGAGCCCTTTGTCCTGAGCTTACAAAATAACTTCAGAAGAGCAGGCCCTTGAAGTTCAAGTGCCACAGTTTTCTTCAACCTTCTCTCTTTTTTTTTTTTAAATTATTTTTCCTTTTTTTAAAAAAAAAATTTTTTAGACTAGTTTTTGTTAGGCATGCCACAAAACTGCAGATGCTGAGCATTCTTGTGATAGCTGCTGTGTGAATATTTTGCTTTGTTCGGTTTTTCAGCACTCCCTGTGAATTAGGCTGCCTTTTGTTTTCCCTTGGCAGTTAGTATGCTAGAGCTCTTGTTAGCCTATATGGAGCTCCTTATTTTAATGAGACCAACTTCTCTACCGGCTGTTCTGCTGTTGTTTTATTTATTTTTTTTAATCAATGAAGCCTCTTACTGGGACTCTTTTGGGACAATAGCTTTCTTATGCTAAAGGAAAATGTATTCCCCTGGATAAAGCTGTGGGAAGCATAACATGCTCATTAGTAATGCTTGGTATATACACTGCCCCTTCCCTTGTTCATTCATAGAAGGAAAAATTACATCAAGGAGAGGATGTTGTTCGGGTGGTTTTGTTGGTGGTTTGTTTTTTTTTTTTTTTCTTCCCTAGAAATAAAAGGAGGGGGAAAGATATCCCTTAAAGTGTCTCTCATAAAGTTGGAGAAGTGCTAGCAGTCCTGATCACGAGGAATTGGTTCCAGTCTGAAAACAAACTGGTTGCTGGTCATAGAGGTAAGTTGTTTGAAATGCCTGTGGCGTGGTCCTGTGTAGCCTGTGAGGTTCAAGGCAGTGGGAGGGAAAAATGGGGAGGAAATGGCACTGTTCTGCTTTCTGGGTAAGAGGAAGGGGGAGAATTTTTATGAAATTGGGTCTTCTGTGATGGGCTATTCGGCCTTTTGCCGTAGGAAGGTGAAGCTGTGCAACAGATGGAGGAGGAGAGAAGAATACTGCCTATGTATAAAGCTTAAACATCTGGGACAGGAGAGGAGAGTTCTTAATTTTTAAAGGAAAACAGATGAGTTAAAATTTTCTGACTCTGTCTGCCATCAGGTTTCCAGCCTAATCAATAAGATGAAGTTTTATTGCAGCTATTAAGTAATGGAGCAAGCACGTTGTTTCTAACTGCTTTCAAGACACAGGTGCATTTTGGGGTTGTAATGCCCTTCACTACCACTGCGGAGAATTACACTGACGAAATTCCTTCTGGTGCGTGTGTATGCAGCTAACATGGTAATACTCTGCATCTCTAGACCTGGAGCCTATGTGGAGAGACTTACTGATCCCCGGCCCAGTGTAGAGTTTGTGCTGGGTTTTTCTGTGATGGAAAGCATTGCTGGAAAATACTGCAGTGGCTTCAGGAGTGAAAGCATTGACGAGATTGCCTTTAAAACTTTCCTTAAGGGTTGTTTTGCCAGGGGCTTGTCCTGATAGCCATATGGCTGCAATGGTTTGCAGAATTCTGTTGAAAACCTTGGGCGTGTGCTAGCTGTCTAGAAGTGCAAGTCAAAATCCCAACAGCAATTAATAAAAACATTGATTTCTCTTATGTATCTATGCAAGAAGAAATCTCATTCTTCAAAATTATTTTCTTGCTTTAAGATTTTCATAATCTTTAGAATATTTACTGTAAACTCAGGGTGTTTATACGTGTATGCACACATGTACAAGATATGCTTGTGATAGCTTGAGAAGGAAGGGGTGAATGCCAACATTGTTAAATCCAAGAATGGTTTGAAGTATTAATACTTCTCTTTGGCAAAGTAAACGCCTTACAGCTCCTTAAAATCATGCAAACCTTTGAGTATTATTTACGCATACGAAGTTAGTTGCTACTTTGGGCTGTAATAACTGCTGCTTTATTTCAGGGCAGAGAACTGAAGGTGACCGAATACTGGATCAAAACCTCAGCTTCTAAGATACTTCCTTCTCCCCCTCCTCCATTCCTGATTAGACTCACTCGTGTTTTGCCAAAACAGCACTGGTGTGTTTTTCTTGGGATTTTCACGGAAGTGGGAGGGACTGTATTAAAAATTCTCTTCTCTTTCTCCAGGGGGAGAAACTAATGTAAATGCAGATGACCATGCAGAATGCAGTTCAGGTAAATGCCCTTTGTAACGTTTGCATTCTGTGTAATATTTTTTTTTTATTTATTTAAAGGTCTACCCTGGAGCAGATGAAGTGCTAAATCCCCAGAGTTCTCTCTAGTTTAAAAAAAAAAAGTAAAGTAATAGTTTTCTCATTTTACAAACGGACCAATGTGACAAGACATATAACTCAGTGTTATATATCAGATGGGTGATCCTTTCTCTTCCTAAGTGCTGTTACCAAAGAAGGTTTTGAAGTCAAAGGCTGAGGTTATTTAAAAACTTGCTTGATGATTAAGAGGTGTTTTGTAAAACCCTATATTCGAGTTAATCACTTAAGTATAGAGAAATAAATATATATTATACACACACTGAACTGAAGGAAAGTAGTTAAGAATACCAGGACTCTTAGGGAATTTTGTACATGAAATTTCAGTGTAGTCCTTTTCTTGAAATGCAAAGGTACCTCTCAGTTTGAAAATATTTTTCTCCTTAAGAGAAATGCTAAGGATTCATGTTCAAGAAGTGTGCTATTATCTTGCATGAGAATATGATGATGTTAAAAGATGTTAAAATCATTTTAATGATTTAAACACAAAATACCTCTGAAATGTTTTATCAGAGAAATCAGTAGTCTGTAGTAAATTATGTGATAAACTGCAGATTTCATTACTTAAAATTTGCTGAGGAATAAACCCCCTACAAATCTAATGCATGTTTTCTTTATTTAATATTCAGGAAAGTATGTAATTTTACATCCAGAGAAGTCAAGAGCATGAATGTAGTAGTACTTTTGCTACAGGCATTACTAATGAGAGCTGCACTGTTTGTGATTACTGTTGGGTCGGTTTGGTGTACCTGTCTGAAGGGGAATGAAGACTTACTCTTGGAATAGATCTTTAGCACAATTCAGAACTGCAAGTTTTTGTCATCTGGCTGCAAATATTAGAGCTCGCTGTCTTCAGCCTACTGAAATCTTCTGCAGGTGTGGTTTGGAGATGACCTTCCCTTAAGTCCCCGAAGTCCTCTGACTCCCAGACATGGGCCGGGTTTGGCAGATGTGTGCCTGTATGACCAGTGGATAGCTGTGCGGCACGAAGCCACGTTGGTGCCTATGCAAGAAGATTTGTCAATCTGGCTGTCTGGCTTGTTGGGTGAGGTTAAAAATAAATCACCGCCTAATAAATTTCAAAGCACTTTCCAGTATTCCAGTCAATGCTGACACTTAATATCCATAGTACTGTTAAGATCTGGTGTATGTGAGCCTGTATGGCTAGGAGAATTGCATTAAAATGCATGCTTCGGTTTTGGATTTTATTAGCTGCCACCTCTTAGAGGTAGGATGATTAATTCTTCTAATTTATATTTCTGAATCTTGTTAGTCTAATTAAAATCTAATTAAGTGGATATTTGATTTTAGTTTGTTTATATATTCCTACTAATTTTCAGTCTTTAACACTGTAGTAAGTTATATGATGGTTGGAATGCTGTTTGAGTTGCCTCTAAGTTCATGTGAAACTTCTTTACCTTCTGTGGAGTAACTCCAATCTTGACCTCCTTTTTTTAGGAATAGAAGTCAAAGCAGAACAACTGCTAGAAGAACTTGATAATGGGGTACTACTCTGCCAATTGGTTGGTGTTCTTCAAAACACAATTAAAAAATGTAGCTCAAACAACTTAAGGGTGAGTCATATTGTGATTTTTTTTTTTAATACATATATAAAGTCTTTAATTCTAAGTAGTAGTAAAAGGAAGGCAGGTGAGTGAGGCTTCCCAAGGTGGCATTCTGTGTGCTGCATATCCAGAGACTAATGAGCAACAGTGTGGCGTTATACATGGATAAACTGTCCTTATGCAGCAAATGACTTAATTTATTAATCAAATCCTAATGTTCTTACTAGTTTTTTTAGTCTGATTTCAGTAGAAGTCTTGCCAGAGGAAGATCTAGTCCAAGTCTGGAGTTTTTTCTCTGATAACATCGGTGTGGGTTGATAACAAGGTATCTGTTGGCTCTTGGTGGAATGTTTTATTCCAGAAACTGGTGGCTAAACTTTAGTGTGGGTTAGCCATGAAAATATCCATATCGAGAGGTTCCTGGAGATGGGCTTCAGTTTTTTTGTTAGGAACCAAGGCTGAGCTGAACTGTGAATCTCCAGCAACTTGCAGTCTGTGTTTGCACAATGAAAAATAGTGATGTGTCACTTTGGATTATAAAACCATGTAATGCTGGTGCAGGTAGCGTACGTTCAATGTACAGGTACCCAGCAGAGCTACAGCAATGCTTGGATTTGTCAAATAGTAGATCACCAACTAGTGTGCCCTGACTGGTAGTGTTTCCCTTGGGGGCAGGAGGAACAGTTTCGTCATATCCAGACCATTTTTTGTGTTTACCTTTTACTGTTTTATCTAGTAAACCAGTAGTTTTAAATAATGGATGTTTACCAGTAAGTAATATAATTACTAATATTAGAATTATTAGAATTATTATTAACTGGGGGGGAGGGGGAGGGACAAGACTGCAGTCTTAAGATGCCAAATGGTATTTATACAAGAGCTATATGAATGCTGCGAATACTTAGGGTTTTTTTAAGGAAGACAAGATGCCCAACTTATGTACCTTTGAACTATTTCTTTGGTTTTGAAGATACCAATTTAAAAACAAGTACATACTTAATGGTTTTAAAGGAAACTGCCCTTTGCTCTCTTCTGATTTCCCCCCACTTTCTAGACTGGGCTCCAAAATGTTGAAATCTGGCAGCTAAGTATGGTTTAGGTGATCTGGGGTTCTCTCTGTTCGTTCTGCTGCTATGATCAGAGCTTTGGAAGGGGGAATAATTATCTAGACCTGTGAAACCATCCATAAGACTTTTACCACAGCATGTGGTGAAATGGGGAAGCAACTGTATGGGCAGTTCTGGGAGAGGTTGCAGAATTCAGGATTGTTCACACAGTGACTGTTCACAAAGATTAGGTGGAATGCCTTCTACGTTAGCATAGGGTTTGGTTTTTTATTATTAGAATGCATGGTGGGTTGAACACAAAATAGTTCCTAACCACTGTTTCTGCACTCTGAGTTTAGAGTTTATTTTCCTTTGCAAATACGCTTTGAAATCTGTTGGCAATGTTGATGTGCACAATGTACCTTTTTGTTTTCTTCCCTTGCCAGAATTTTCCTATGAGAAAAGTTCCATGTAAGAAGGATGCTCCATCAGGATCTTTTTTTGCCAGAGATAATACAGCCAACTTTCTTAACTGGTGTAGGGCCATTGGAGTTGATGAGACTTATCTCTTTGAATCTGAAGGTTTAGGTAAATCTATCTTTTTGTAAGACTTGCTTTGATCTGTGTGTGAATAACTACCCGGGCAGGGAGACCTCTTGTGAAGCCTTTGTCACAACTGTACCTGTCTTGTGCAAACTATTAATGTTTTTATTTATTTTAAGGCAGCATTCACCTAAAAGCCTTAGAAAATCAGTTCAGTGACTGCTCTAACTTGCATGATGCTTTTCCAACCTTCTGCAAGTTGCCATGTGGCAGGGAGGGAGGAGTGACGGCTGCGCAGCAAACTTGCATGTTTTCCTTCAGTAAAAAAGCCCACTGAGAAACAGAGGAGAAAAGCATGGTTTTGCTTTCCCTGTGTGAAAAGACCACAGGGGCCACGGAGTCAACTCACAATAAGATCCTTTATTTGGTATTAGAGCTCATTCTCGTTGCAGAAAGCCCTCAGAATAATGCATTCACGACTGCTAAATTTGGTAATTACATCAGGGCGTTGTGCCTGAAGTGACAGCAGTCTGGTAATTAACGTTTACTTCAGGACCTGCCTGACGTGATTCTAAACCATTTGTATTTTCCCATTTAATAAGATAGTTATAAAAATAAACATTGCCAACTGTGTGCATGCCTGCCCCAGTGCGCAGTCTGTCCCTCATAACAAACAGCTTCTAGCCGGATGCTTCCAGATGGAATAAAATTTTTTTGATTGTTAATTAAGAGGACATTTACCATGTGCTGTCTTCGCGTGGTAAATAATAAAATGCTTTTCTACCAGCTATTATGTCAGTAAAAATTAATGAGTACAAACCTTTCTGTGGCAAGCCAAATACTGGGGGTTTTGGGGGGTTGTTTTTTATAAAATAAAAAAAGGCAAAATATCTGCCTGTCAAGCAGAATAGCAAAAAATTGCAAGGTACTTTTGTTTTCATAATCAAATGCATTTGTCACAATATTTACTAGATTTTCTTGAAGTCTTTGTGCCATTTAATGCTATTGAAATGGGAGGCACTGTTTTCATTAACTGCTTTTCTTTTAAGCTCTCCTCCCTGCTAGTTGGACTGCCCTTGCCTTCTCTACTGGATAAGTCATCTTTGAAACCAGTTGAGAAAATACCCTTATTTGCATCTGTCTCAATCTGATTTAACTAGGGAGTGTATCTTTTTTCAGTGCCATGAAATACAGATGAGTAGGAGACCTGAGCTATAAGAAAATTAGTTTTAATATTTTTTTTTTCAGTTCAACTTGTATGAATTGCATTGCTTAAACATCTTAGCTCCTGTAAGCGGATGGGTAACTAGAACCTGTTTAGCCTCCCTGAGATAAGCAGACAGGATTTCCTAATGCTGTGGCTTTCGCTCATAGCCGAGAAGTGTTTTGAATTCTGATTGTAACTCTTGACACAAGCTTGCTTTGTGGCCTAAATGTCTTCAGCAAGCTTTCTTGGCAGTTGAAATGAGCAGACTTGCAGCCTCCTTGGTGAAACATTCTTTCCACTGATGTTCTCCATCAAACTTTCAAGCTGTTCTTTATGCATGAAACAGGGGAAAGACAATTTGACCATTGTCCTTTTCCCATCAGATACATATAGCAACACCTCTGAAATGTGTGGATGGCTCTAAAGGAAATAAATTCCTAAAAATGCTCCTGAGACAACAGAAAGGGAGAGCAGCCATCATGGGATGCCCTTTGACATCAAGCCAGATGTCTTGATCTCTGCTAGGCATTTTTCTCTTCTGGATTCAGACAAATTACGCTTCTTCTGTTATAGCTGACAAAAACACTTATGAAAAGAAAAAAGATTAAATGACCTCTAGTACCTTTTAGATTATGGCTGTGCCAACTTGCTTTTATAGATTTACCCTTCATAATCAGATCTCTTAAAAAGTAGGCTTACAAACTGGAGTAGATGGTGTAAACAAGAACGTCTGACTTCATACTCCACTTATACTTTAGGAAACACTTCAGTCTTATTTAAAGCAAAGTCATTCTAAATATCAAATTGAACATCAGTAAGAAGTTAGTTTTCATCTGTAAATATAGAGCTGGCTCATTAGGCTTCTCTTCAGAGTGAATTTCCAGTTTCTACTGAATATTGTAACTGCACAGGATGAAGAAAGTCAGGCTTGTTCATATAACTGTTACGCTATAAAAAAATTCTATCTGCGGCTTTTCACATTTCTTATGTTTGATGGTCATGGGGGAAAGAACGATGCCGTGAGGCTGGGGGGGACTTGAACAACCTTTCTCCCAGCCTTTGGTTTCTGAGTTGTTAGGCAGTATACCTAGTTGGCTAAGAAAGCACGGGGATGGTTTGTTTTCTAGAGCGTTCATACAACTATGTTCTTAGAACATGTTGAGAGAATCTCAATTTTGAGGCTTAAATGGAAGCAGAGGAGGAAGTAGTTATTTGAGTGTGAAATTTTTAAAGTCTTTTCCTCCTCTGTTCATGGCCCTTGTTTCTTTTTCCTTTTTCTTGCACACCTAAAGATGGAAGTTGCAAGAAACCAAACCAGGCATTGCTTTCCTTCTGCCTCTTCTGTTCTTCAGTGCAGCAGTAAAAATAATTGAATATATTCACTCCAAAGTTGTCAAGAAAACCCAGAACAACTGCCAAGGTCACCTACATGCTGTTTTGCTATCACTCCGCCCTTCCATCTCATTCTTCAGCTCTCCTGATGGTGACTTGGTGTGTCTTACACAGCCAAGTGCACGCAGCTGTTAGAGCTGCTCTGAACTGAGGGCCTGAGAGTCTCTGTGTTGGGCACGACCTGGGTTAATGTGGGCACGGGTCCTTGAGAAGCAAAGCCTTGTGCAAAGCTCGGTGCTCCTAACATAAGCCAATATCTGAGCGTTTGCGTCTAAACCAATGCCATTCTCACCTCCTTATGGTTGGGGGTTTTGACCCTCTTTCTCAGAGCCTTACAAAGATACCAAATTCTGAAGAAAACCTTTGTATGGATGGGGCAGGAGGTGGGAGCTGACAGGGAGGGTTGAAATGAGGGTATAGCATGGGGCAGGGGACCTGCCACTGGCAAAGTGCAGGTCTTCTAGTGTGACTGGGGAAATCTGCCATATGGATGGACCCTGCTGGCACCCAGAACTTTAAAAAATGATAAGAAAAAGGACCTGTTGCTTACTGAAATGGTAACAGTCACCCAGATTATTCTTTCACAGCCAAGGGTTCAAGCCACTTAGGCTGACTGGCTGCACAGCTTGTCAGCTAGATCCCTTGCACTGTATTCTCCTACGGTTTTCACCTATAGAGTGTGTGTGCCTCTCCCTGTCTGCACAAGCATGAACAGATGGAGCATATTTTCCTATTTGCAGTTGTTGAATGCTTTTCATCTTTAGGACTGCTATAATATATTGGGGGATAGGGAAGGGAAAGCTCTCAGATCTCTTTCTTTCCAGCTCACATCAAGAAAGAACAGCATAAAATCAAATAAAGCATATTTCTCTTAGGAGGTGGAGAAGAGTTTGATTTCAGGAGTGCCAGGATGGGTTTAAACACTTTATGGAATAGAAAATTAGAGTTGGAAAGCATATAATGTTTTATCCCTGATAATGTAGCTTGCCTCTGGGTAGAATGATGGCAAAGTTATAGTCATCTATTGCTTTTCTTCCCTCCTCTGTACCTAATTGCACAGGCCTCCCCACAGTAAATATAAGCTGTAACTCTATTTTATTCTCTTCCCTTTTAGTTTTGCACAAGGATCCAAGGCAAGTGTATCTTTGCTTGTTGGAAATTGGACGCATTGTATCCAGGTATATGATCCATACATGCTCTTAACAAGAAATTTAAGAACATATTCTATTAAGTAAAAGCTAAGACAAAGACAATCTGTGGTCATTAAGTGCAAGGCAGTAGATGTTAATTCCATGCAGAAAGTAATGAATAGCTTTTCTAGGACCACCGTACAATATGAGTATTTTTTCAAATATTTATCAGACTTTTTTCATGAAGAAGTACTGATCCATACTGGATTTTATAGCTCTGTATTTAAATACTACATTCAGCTTATAGATATGTGTACATTTTGGAAGAACTTATTGAACGTTAAATACAGTTTTAAGGGCTTTATTTTTTAAGCTTTTTGGCAGGTATCTGTCATTCTCTAAATTTAGACTTCTAATTTATTTCTAGTGCAGAGCTGGAAGCTTTAAAATAGTTTCTCCAAATTGGATGTGACCCAAATCGTGTGGTTTTGAGTTTTTACTACCTTCTGTGGTAGCTCCAAGACCACCTTTGGGAGAACTTCTACTAGCAACTCAAGAGTTGCTCCTTCTCTTTGCGTTACCAAGGCAGTTACTCCTCTGACTGATGTAGTGCTGTTCCCTGTCAGTCAAGCTACTCAGAATTTTGCATGTTTGTTATCATCAGTTTCTTTTTGTTTTCTGTAGCACTTAAACTCTCTGCTTTTGTATTTATGTTGAGGTATGGAGTTGAACCTCCTGTACTAGTGAAACTAGAGAAGGAAATTGAGCTAGAAGAAACACTGCTGATGACCTCTGGGCCCCCTTCCCCTGTTAGCACCGCAAAGTCCTGTTGTCACCATGGGGAGCTACATGAGGCAGTAAGTACTGCTGAGTTATTGTCATACAGGCTTTAAATCAAACTCCAAATTTAGTGCTTGTATGATCTGGTTCAGTAAATGTAGGCTGTTTTTCATCTAATATTTGTGAGCCTCCTTAAATAGAAAACAAGAAGGGTATGCACCTCTTTTACAAGAAGGGTATGCACCTCTTTTGAACAACTATTTTTTTTGAAAATGTAAGCAAAATGCTGTCATATTTTGGAGTGAATGCGTCAGTGCATATAACTTGCCTTGATTCCCCCCCCCCACTTTCATTGCTGCTTTGAGAAATACTCTCATTCAATTTTTCTGGTGTGTCAACATTCTATGACTGTAACGTATGCTTCTCTTCAACATTTGATGAAGTTTTATGAAAACATCAAACTGAAGTAGGCTTTGATTAAACTCTTTTGAAAAAAGACTTTAAATAAAACCTCTGTAGCTGTACCAATTGGAAGTGAATATGTATGCAGAAAAGGAAATGATTTGTACATCTTGTGAATTGGTCCAAGAGGAATGATGAACAACTTTCCTGTTTTGCTTAAAAATGTGTGTTGAGACTTTAAAGTTCATTTATTTTAAAGGTCCTCTGCATTGTAATGTAAAACTTCTGCTTCTTTGGGAATGTCAGCCAGCAGATCCTCGCTCTCTGAAGTGTCTCTCCATTTTTCCTGCTTGGCAGTAGTCTTGACCTTCTGATTTGTTAAGTTTCTAAGTGGCTGGAAGAGGCACATCTTCTCCAACCCTGGACTTCTTTGAGGACTACCTTTCTCCGTTTTTCAGTGGTTTCCTTCTTGGGTGTCACATAGAAGATTAACTTATAAAAGCCTTACAGAAAGTTAAGGAGAATGCAGAAGTAGCCCTGGGTCAGATGTAGCAATGGATTCGGTCACAGGAAAGACCCAGGCACTTGCTTCAATTTCTAGAGACCATAACAGTGTCTTTACAAGGTTGGGGTTGGAATTTCATATTACCGTGCACAGTGCTACAGACAAATCTTAACAAGGAAAGTAGAAATAACTTAAAATTGCAGAAATCATGAAGATTGGATTGGAACAACTCGAAATATTTGTCTGTAGATACAGTGTTCTTTCTCTTCATCTTTTCTTTTACATTTTGAAGCTCATATAGCTGAGACTTTCTTGTGAGGGAACAGAATTCCTGTGTTTTCTTGGATTATGAGATGAAGGTATCAGTATCTTTTTCTTGCATTAAATATCTCAATAAACTGTTAAACACGTGCTTCTGTCAAAATACTGATGAATGCTTTCAATTTTGATAACTAGGTTAAACATATAGCAGAAGATCCTCCCTGCAGTTGTTCCCATCGATTTTCAATTGAATACTTATCAGAGGGACGTTATAGACTGGGAGACAAAATACTGTTCATACGAGTAAGTAGTTTCTCAGAATTCCGATTTATATCCATAATGGGGAGATAAATACTTTTAAGTGGAATAACTCACTTTTATGGTACTGTTTAGAATTATGGAATGATTTAGGCTGAGATACCATGTCATCCAGTCTCCTATTCGAAGCAGGTGTAGATAATTAGTTCTACAACTATTGATTTTACAACAACACTAAACTAAGCAAGTTAATGTTTTTCTGTGGCGTTTGTAAAATTTCAGTAGCATCTTGCAATATAAATCAGGGTAATGCAATAGAGTATCCTGAGAGCATTGCTTGTTCAAAATCTGGATGCTTGGGGTTTATAATTTGTAGGATAATTGAGTGATGTCTTCAGCAGGCATAAGAGTTTCTGGGATTAAAATATTATGAGGACATCCATAATTTAAACAAAACCTGTATTCAAAACTCTGTATACTGAATAAAGATGCTGACAGAATGGTTAAAATGTTTTCTGCATATATGCTTTCATTATTTCCTGATGCTTAATGACTGTCTCTGCAGGAGAAACTATCTAATAAAAGAATTGGGAAGTATAAGCCTTATTTATAACATAATTTCTCTTTTTTAATATGTTTGTCTGTAAGAAAGGCATTCCT